TTCTTATTTTTATCAGCTCTTCCAAGGTCTTTTTTTTTTTTTGGTACCTGGGATCAAACTCAGATTTTGTACTTGGCAGGCAGGCTTCGGAACCACTGAGCTAAATCCCTGGCCCTCCCAGGTCTTTGATACCAAGGTTCAAATTCTCTGCATAAAGAAATGAATAGGACAGCTGAGTGTGGTGACATATGCCTGTGATACCAGCACTTGGGAAGCAGAGACAGGAGGCTTGCCGTGAGTTTGAGGCTAGCCTGGGCTGCATAGTGAGTTCAGGGCCTTCCTGAACTACAAAGCAAGACCCTGTCTCAAAAAACCAAAAAAAAAAAAGAATAGGACAGAGTTCTAGCGCAGTGGTGGCCAACCTATGGCATGTATGCCACGGCAGGCTGTTTGTATTATTGAAAGCTCTAAAAGGTTCACCATTACTGTTTTAGCTTGTTTTGTTTTGTGGTACTAGGGTTTGAATCCAGCCTGGGCTACATGGTGAGTTCAAGGTTGGCCTGAACTGAGGATGTTAGGTGGTGTTTACTTGGGATACAGATTCCTCACTTCATACCTATGATGGGCGTGGTATGGGAATGTAATTCTTCTGTATCCTAAAGATTGAAAAATACTGGCTTTGAAGAAGTCAAAGTGTGTTATAAGGAATGACTGGGGAAATGAACTGATGGTTGGAAGAGGGTGAAACTTCTTTTTTCTTAAAACTGCAGGATGTTTTTGTGTGGCCTTTAGGACAGCTATAAAAACTACTCAAAGCCAATGATTAGAGGGGGTGTGGTGTGGCCTCTTAATTATTTCCTGCAAATAAGACTTTTAGCAACGTGCAGGTCAGAATGGTACTAGGAACATGTGAAAATACTAGTCATGCATATGGTGCTATAAAAATAGACCAGCACATGATGATTGTTTGGTCCTGGGACTCCATATCTAGCGTCATTTCCTATTTTTCCAGGCCTCAGTAAATTCAGCTGGTACCGTCTGATCTGCAGTTATTTGCAGGAAATAATTAAGAGAGTGGAGAGGCATACCAACTTAAGATCCACTGGGCAGGCACTGGCACTGTTATTCAGCCCCTAATGTAAGTAGGCCCAGAGGCAGACTCCGTAGGTGCTAAAAGTTAATCAGAGCTCAGAAGAACTCTTCCCAAATGGGTTTTCAGTGTGTTTGCCAAATGGGTGCTCTGAGAAAAATATTGGCTGACCTGTTTGTGTGGTGTGGGCAGAAGCTATTTGTTGGAGTCCTTGCACCCATGGTCACAGGCTATGCCCAGGATGGTCATTATTCAGCCACATTCGTGAGGAGTCTGTTGTGAAGAGTTACATAGACCGTGCTGTGGAGATTAGGAAGGCAAGATTCTGATCCTTTGGAATTAAGGAATTTTGTTTGGTGAGAAAAACCCATAATTCATATAAAACACTTGATATTCAAATAGCTCTGTGTAAGTAATACAGATTAATGTATCATGATCTGAGTGTAAATTTTGAGTAAAAATTTCTCACGTTAGATTTAGTTCACTTAACATTATGGTCTCAAGGTATCTGTTTTACACATAATTTTTTTTTTTTTTTGTACTGGGAATCAGACTCAGGGCCTCACAGTTGCCAGGCAGGTGCTGTGCCACTGAACTACATCCCCGGCCTGCACATAATTTTTTTGAGACAGAGTCTCCCTGTGTAGTTCAGGCTTCTGATTTTTTTTTTTTGGTATTGGGGCTTGATCTTGGGACCTTCCACTTGCAAGGCAGGTGGCAGAACTGCTGAGCTAAATCCCCAGGCCCAGGCTACTGCTCTTGAATTCACTGTATGGCCCATCCTGGCCTCAAACTCACAGTGATCCTCCCACCTCAGCCTCCTGAGTGCTAACATCATAGGCATGTGTTACTTGAGCAGCTGGTTGGGATGCTAGGCAGGAGGAGCCCAGGAGTTTGAGACCAGGCTGATATATATATATGTGTATATAGATGTATATATGTATATAAAATCTCTGTAAATGTTCAGCACATCGATGACAAAAGTATAACATATCTTACATATATAATAATTACAAGTATGAAAAATTGTGTTTCTCCATTATAAGAGCTGTAAATATATAAAAATGTACCAAAACATCTGTTAGGGTAGTGGAAGTACTCGAAGTGCAAGTCTTCTCTCCCTCGATGTTCACATTTTACGTGAACAACAACAAAAAAGAACAAATGTGCTTCATTGGAGCAGATTGTTCCGGTGTTGAGCACCTTAAACTGGAGATGTGGGCTCAGAGTGTGCAATGTGAGTCTAATGTATTTTTCTTCCCTAGATGAAGCAGATGATGATGATGATCCAGAATATAATTTCCTGGAAGATCTCGATGAACCTGACACAGAGGATTTTCGAACTGACCGGGCTGTGAGGATCACCAGTGAGTCCGTATTATTATGAGTCCTGCTGTCATCTGCTTCATGGCTCCCTACATGTCCTCTAGGTTTTCGGAGGGATGGTCCCAGCCCACCCAAGTTAAGACATTAAGTTTCCTCTGCTTGTTTGTTTCTGTAATTCTTTAAGTATATTCAGAAAGTTGTCAGTTGTTTATTTCTCCATCTGGTAGTCACACGTGGAGTTCTCATAATTGGGTAAAGATTGTACTTGCAGTAGCACAACGAGTCAGGATGTGGCCTCTGCCCTGTGGGTGTGAGTGTAGTAGGGATGCAAGCAGAAGGAGCTGTAATACAGTAGTAGAGGAGATTGTCTTGAGGAGGTTGTCCTCTCCTAGGGTGTGATAAAGAGTAGGCTGAGAAGCTTAGGAAAGGATTCTCAAGATGGATATCTCAGCCAAGTTTTGAAGGAGGAATAAGAGATTTTTAGTAAATGGGGACAGAGAGGAATATTACAAGTAGAAGTGCACTACAGTCATTGAATTGTAAAGCAGCAAAAACTGTTGGGAAAATAGTGAGTAGTTGGTGCAGTTGTGAGTGAGTAAATGGTGGTAGGAAAGATAAACAGTGTTAGGGTCATGGGGGTCTTTGGGCTCTCAGAGTTTTAAGCAGGAAGTCAATAAGAAGTGATTTGGATTTTAGAAAAATCACTTTGCTTTCATAGAGTTCAATGTATTGTTTGGTGGCTAAAGAGAGCAAGATTACTTGGCTTTAGATACTTGTTCAAAAAATTTTAATCATTATTGGCTAGTGTTCCAGTCATGGAAGCGTGTATTTAGAAATCATTGAGCTTGGGCTGGGGATTTAGCTCAGTGGTTTTGCTGCCTGCTGCGCAAGCGCAAGGACCCAAGTTCGATCCTCAGTACCAAAAAAACCCCCCAAAAACCAAAGAAATCATTGAGCTTTTCTTGGGAGGCTGCATCGCTGAGCCCAGGAGATCACGCCCAGCGAGGGTAGCATGACCAGCCTTCGGGGCTCCTATGCCGTGGTGTGCACAGTGTGCAGTGTGGGCACCGGAAGTGTTTCTTATGTGTTTAAGTATAATGCGGGCTTTCTCCTATAATCCTTCAGGACTCAGTATTCTATTTTGCTGCTTTATTTCGTCTTGTTCTTAACACTAAAGTATCATTTCTTTTATGAAGATCTTCCAGTTATTAAGTTATTACAGTTGAATTTAGAGGAAGTGTTGACAGGAAAGTACTACATGCCACAGAGAAAGTGTAGAAGGAACAGGCTTGAGGTTCAGGCTGGGAGAAGACTGTAAGAAGGACTGGAACAGTCCGAGAAAACTGAAGCCAGGGGACGCGCCTTTCAAGGAGGCGTCATATGTTTCTGCTGGAAGTGCAAAAGCAGAAGTCTCACTTCAGCTCACCTGTCAGCCTGGAGCACACCTGCTCTGTCTTCTTGTTTGTCTCTTAACTTTCTTCTGTTTTCATTTAAATTCTCAGGGAAATCCTTTTCAGTTAAGATTGATACTCTTGCTTTGTGTGCGCGCTTGTGTGTGGGGGTGGGTGAGTGGGTACTGGGGATTGAACCTAGGGCCTTTGCACTGAGCTACATCCTCAGGTCCTCCCCTCCCCCTTTTTGGTTTTTTTGAGAGAGGGTGTTGCTATGTAGTCTGTGCTAGCCTTGAACTCCCAGCAATCCTCCTGCCTCAGCCTCCCAAGTGCTGGGATTAGAGGTGTGCACCACCACCCCTGGCCCCTGGTCCTTGTTTCATTTTTTATTTTGAGACAAGATCCTGCTAAGCCACTTAATTGGCTAGGTTGGGCTTGACCTTGCAGTCCTCCTGCCTCAGCCTTCCAGAGTCTGGGATTATGGACCTGCATCACCACGCCTGGTAATGTGTTCTGGTCTCGAGCCCTCCTCACTGAGCATTTTCCATATTGGACTCAAGTCTGTTTTTCATATTCTTTCTGTTTTCCTTTGTTGTGGCAAAAATACACTTGCAGATGTGCACATTGAAAGGTGTTTCTTTCACTGTGTTTCTCATGTGGAGTGTGCCAGGTCTCTCAGCCCTTCAAATGCTGTGGCATGCAGACCTTTTGCCACTCGTGACACGCTCCAGTGGGTTTGAGCATTTATTTTTCTCTAAACTGTTTCTCTTACATTTTATTTATTTATTTACTTTTGGTACCAGGGATCGAACTCGGATCCTTGTACTTGCACAGCAGGCTGCGAAACCACTGAGCTAAATCCTTGACCCTTTCTGTTACATTTTATTCTGAAGTTTTTTACATATATATAAAGTTGGAAGAGTTATCTTCTAGTATGTTGCAGCTTCATTTTGCAGGAAGAATAATGGGAAACTTTTAATATATATTTTGCCTTTACATGCAGCTCCCCACTTATTTCAGAGTGTATTATACTACATATTATTACCTAAAGCTTAATATTTGTTTATGATTATGATTATGATTATTATTTTTTTTTGGTACGGGGATTGAATTTAGGACCTTGTGCTTGCGAGGCAGGGGGTGGCACCACTGAGCTAAATCCCCAGCCCTTTTTGGTTTTTTTGAGACAAGGTCTCACTATCTCGCTATGTAGTTCAAGCTGTTCTTGAACTCACAGTGTAGCCCAAGCTGGCCTCAAACTTGTGGTGATCCTCCTGCCTCAGTCTCCTGAGTGCTAGGATTACACGTGTGCACCACCACACTTGGCTTGTTTAGGTAACTTCACACATCTGTTACACAGGTCTTTACCATTTCATGAGTCCTCTTTTTTGTTAGAATAATAAAATACCATTATTGAAATAGTCTGGGTGCATATGAGAGGGAAGTTGCCTTGCCAGTCGTATGTATTAAGTTGAGTGAGCAGGCAACCCAGTATGGAATTGAAATCAGAAAACCTTTAAAGTATTGAACTGAGGGCCAGGGATTTAGCTCAGTGATTCCGCTGCCTGCCTCACAAGCATGAGGTTCTGAGTTCGATCCCCGGTACCAAAAAAAAGTATTCAACTGTGACAGAGGAATGTCAGGTCTGAGCTTAGCCTGGACAATGTAGTGAGACCTTGTCGTCTTCTTTTTTTTGTTGTTTTTTGAGATGGAGTCTCTCTGTGTAGTTCAGGCTGGCCTTGAACTCAAGGCGATTTTCCTGCCTCAGCCTCCCAGGTGCTAGGGTTACAGGCAAGAGCTACCACACCTGCCTTGAGACCCTGTCTTTTTCCTGAGACAGGGTCTTGCTATGTAATTCAGGCTGGCCTCAAACTCAAGGTGATCCTCCTGCTTCAGCCTCTTGAGTGCTGGGATTACATGTGTGTGCCCCTATACCCGGCTTGTTTAGGCAACTTCACACCCGTGTTACACAGATCTTAACTGTACCATTTAACGAGTCCCCACACCCACATATCTGTGTGACCCAAACCCCTGTAGCTCGCAGAACCGTCCCCCGCAGAGGCCCTTGTGCCCTCTCCGGTCGGCCTCTGCACCTCCCCGCCTCCCTTACTGACTCTGGTCTCTCATGAGATCTGTCTGTCAGGCTTTCATGGAGACGTGACCGGACCGTGTGCCCTGGGTGTCAAGCTTTCCACATGCTGTATTTGTGAGGCTCACTCCTGTCTTGTGAACACTGGTTTACTTACTTGTATTGTGAATGGAATTTTATTTTACAAACATACAGCAGTGCTGTCTTTGTGTTGATGGACACCTGGGCTCCTTCTAGGTTTTGGTTATCACGAAGAAAGCTCCTCTGATCTGTTTTTGTCTTCCTTTTTGCTCTGAACTCTGTTGGTCAACCCTTCATGTACAGGTTTAATCTCCCTTGGGTCCTCTATCTAGGAGAGGAACCATTGGGTCATAGGTAGGCGCATGCTTCGTTTTATAATTTATAAAAAGTAGTTTATAAGTATTTGTAAGAAGTTGCCAGACCCTTTTCCAAAATGACTTTGCACCTTATGTCCTAGTTAAGAGTTAGTTGTCTCACATCCTCCAAGCATTATTTATGTATTTATTTTCATTGATTATTGTTATTTTTGTTTTTCCGTTTTTCTCACCAGTGTTTGCATTTGACTTACGAAGGCCTTTGGCAGTGGTACTAGGTGCTGAACCCGGGCCCTTGTGCATGTTTTTTTATTTCCCTGTGGAGCACAGTGATAAGCACATTTTTGTGGATGTGTTTAGGGTAGAAGGGGATGTGTGGAAGGGAGAGGAGGCAGAGAAGTGAATGTATTATGTACGAAGAGAGATGACGGGAAACCACTCTCATTTAGCTCTTTGCTGTCCCTTCCTCTTTGTTTTCCGCATCTGCATGATATGCATTCCGTGTCTGTCTCCATAAAATGCTCACAGTCTGTGGACATTTCAGATTAGAACCATGTCGGCCCCATCCATGAGTTTCTGTGTCATTAGGAACATTAAATCATCACCAGAATCTGTTGCTCCAATAATTTTTTCTGGTCCCAGTCCTCTCTCAAAGCCCCAAGCGATAATGCTCTGCTCCTTCTTTTTTTTTGAATTTGATAACAGCACTGTTTGAGAAATCAGATTTCCTTTTGTTACTTTCTGACTTCTCCCTGGGTTTATTATTTTCATCTTCCTTCATCTTCTTATACTTTTTCATAACGTGGAAATTAGCTCAGGGCCACCCAAGTTTTTCTGTGGTTCCCAAGTGTTGTGCTCCTCAGAAAAGCCTTTCCACTTTAGCAGATACTCCTCTGCCCCTAACCATGCACCTCACATTTTCTCTGTGACATACTCCTCCTCATCCCCTGAGGAACTGTCCACGATCCTCTTGGTTTTCTTTCCCGTATCATACGCTGTTGCATCTGAAGGACTAAGGCCATTGGGTTCCATTATAAATGCTCATGGACAGCTATTGTGGTGGTGCACGCCTGTCATCCCAGCACTCTGTGAGGCTGAGGCAGGAGGACTGCAAGTCCAAGCCCCATCTGGGCAAGCCCTTGGGGCTGAGATCGCCCACTCATGAGAAGGTCTGCCCCATTCCTCTGTGGTGAGGCCGCACCGCAAGCCACTGAGCCACTGCCTTCTCTTTAGCCTCTTGTGTATGCTTTTTGACATTTTATTTTGAGAGTGTTTTGCTAAATTGCCCAGGCTGGCCTTGAGCTTGAGAGCTTTCTGCCTCAGCCTCTTGAGTAGCTGAATACAGGTGTGGGCCACCATACCAGTTTAAGAAGGCCTTTGGCTGAGTTTTACTGAGCTGAGTTTTCCAGGTGTAGTGTGAGGCTCTGCTGTGGGCAGGGATACACCTGTCTTTTTAGTGCAGCTGTGTCATATTGAACTCGAAGTCAACCAGAATGTTTAGCTCTTTTTCAGACTGTTTTTAGGCCATTCCACCTTTTTGTATACTTGAGGTTAAAAATTCAGAATGTAGGACTTAATATGTGTATTCTGTCTAGTTGATTTGAGAAAACATAGTTTTGAATCTGTTATCAGTTGGATCTTCAGGTAGCTGCTGTTACTTATGTAACCACTTCTGTCATGTACAGATTTGAGAAGTGTATTTTTTTGATTCTTCTAAGTCATTGCTAAGCAGCTCAGGTCTAAAGACATCCTCTGACATACTTTGGGAGACTTGTCTCCTGACTCCGTTTAGTGCTATATGGGTGTAGGTAGGCCAGTCAACTATGAGTTTATCTAATTGTAAAATCATGCAACTCACATGTTCTGCATGTCTTCCCATTAAAATTTAAGCTTCACAAAAGTATAAGTCTTTTGTCATCTCATGTTCTGCAGACACCTAGAGCCCCAACTGAGGCATGGTTGGTCTCAGTAGGAGTTTCTGACTTGAATGAAAGGTATTTATGAGCATCCTGTAAGATGCCTTGCTCGGAGCAGGATACATTGTCTCCGTAAAGTTCCCCCTTCTTACAAAATGAAAATAATTTTTGCCGACAATGTACTTTTTGTTTTTTTACAGAAAAGGAAGTGAATGAGCTGATGGAAGAACTGTTTGAAACTGTGAGTAATGATACTTGAGGAGTTCACGTGATGAAAATAGATCCTCCAGTATGTTCTGTCCTTGGTCTGGATTCTCTTTCTGTAAAGGGCGGTCTGTCTGAGCCATTCCCCTCTCGGTCCACCCATTAGAGAATGTAGCAGCAAGAAAAGAGTGTGAGCTGGGAAACGTTTGATTGTTCATGCAGAGTTTATTCTGAGTGAAATTCTCTATGCAAACTTTTGCTGTCCTCCCCCACTATCACTGGGTGCATGCTGAGATTATAAGCCAGCTTTAGAGTTCTCTGAGCTCAAGGACTTCCTTCTTATAAAGTTGTCTCTTGAGAGATATTTCTAAGAGATTGGTTGTTCTGAGTTGTCAGGTCAGCCCTCACTATCACACACTGGCTGGTTGTAATAGTCATCCCACATGGAGTTCTGAGAGTCGCGAAGTATAAGCCTGTCTGGTGACAGCATGATGAAGGTACTGTAGTCTGTAGTTTTCATTTACCCATGCTGCTGCTGGAGCTGTAGCGGCAAAGTGCCACCCAGTATATACAGCTCTGGTGTCTACAGCCCAATGCAGGTAGTTCAGGAGAGTGGAAGTCACACCCAGGAGTCTCGGAGGCAAAGTGTGCAGCTTTATTCTTAGTCTGGGACTTCTCTGCAGAGACTGACCCCCCAACTGAGCCAGAGCTGGGTTGTTATACCTTAGGGAAGGGGCAGGGTTACAGGAACTAGGCATTTAACATCATTTCATTAGTTAGAAAGTTACAAGTTTCAATGTTTTATTTACATACAGGCCCCCCGCAATCTTATTGGTTACAGACTTTCACATATAGCAGGTTCATTGGTTAACATAGTACACTGAGTTCCACCTTATTTGCATACGGCAGAAAGTCAGGAGTAACAAAACTGTTAAGAAGGAAGAAAATTCCTGAGATGTTTGGGGGACCTGGGCCCAGGCAGGCCTGGGGAATGTTAAAAGAATCAGAGGGAAGTCATCTTTCCCTGTTAGCAAGTCCAGCTTTAGCTACAGAGAAGTTTATTTCCCTTTCAGAGTGACTTACAGAGGTCCATTCCCCAGGAAACCCTCCTTTTCTTTGCCTGCAGTTCCAAGACGAGATGGGATTCTCTAACATGGAAGATGATGGCCCAGAGGAGGAGGAGCGTGTGGCTGAGTCTCGGCCTAATTTTAACACCCCTCAAGCCTTACGGTACGCTGGCCACAGATCTTAAGACTTAGAATGGAGGCAATGTGTATTTCTGAAAAAGCTTTTGGAAATCACATTGAACAGTTTCTCATCTTTAGCTATCTTCTGTTAATTGTGTAAGGATGCAGAGCTTGGGAGGGGGCCGGGCGGTAAATGGGAAGTCTCCTTGTTAAGGGGCAGTGCAGCAGGAGATGCAAGCTGTATCTGTTTGGGAAGGGAGAAAAAACAGCAGCTGGCATCCGATCAAGCTTCTCCAGGAGAGTGGTGCTGGAGAGGTGTATAGGACTCTGTGTGGCCAGCCACAGAAGCTACCCTAAATTGTGATAGCTGCTACTTACATCTCTTTTATTTTCCTCGTTGGCATTAACATCTGTTAACTGGGACTGCAAGTTTCTTAGTCACCCAGGCATTAATTGAGCGAACTATGTAGCACCTGCCCTGCATTGATGGCTCAAGAGCTGGAAACGTATGTCCTGACCTTTTCACGCTGAGTTGGTGTGTTTTTTTTGTAGTAGTGGGGATTGAACCTAGGTACTTGTTACTGAGCTATATCCGCCTCCCTTTTTATGTTTTATTGTGAGACAGGGTGTTGCTGAGTTGCCTCCTAGCGTCCTGCGATTATAGGCCTGCAGCACAGGCGTGTGCCACCATATCTGGCTGAAGTTGGTACTTCTCAAACCCTCCAGAAAGTAGAGGTTTTAATTTTCTCCTCTCTTTTTGTGATGGATTTGGATTCCCTTTCCCTCTCTCTCTCTCTTTCTCTCTCTCTCTCTCTCTCTCTCTCTCTCTCTCTCTCTCTTCTTCCTGTACTAGGGATTGAGTCCAGGGCCTGCACACTAACCTACATTCCCAGCCCTTTTTATTTTTTGTTTTGAGAAAGGGTCTTGGTAAATCGATAAGTTGCCCAGGCTGGGCTGGAACTTCTGACCCTCCTTCTCCTCTGTTACAGGTGTGTGCCACCATGGGGCTGTACTTCAGCCTCTGGTCATCTGTCGTGAGTGGCAGCATATAGTGATTAGATGTGTTACTGGACATTGGGTCCTTTGACACAGTTATAAATAAAAGTTAAAACTAGGCTAAGAAGTGTGAGAAGGTAGGCAAAGCTTTAATTGTAAAGTCAAGAAAATGGGGAAGGGACCTCAGCTTAACCAGAAGACCTGAAGGGGAGTGTGGCACTGATGAGAAGATCAGGCTGGTCTGCTCAGAAAGGAAAGGAGCCTGCTGCTGCTGCTGCTGCTTCTGTTTTATTTTTGGTTTTTGTTTTTTTGAGACAGGGCCTTGAACTCACTGTGTAGCCTAGGGTGCCCTCAAACTTGTGCTGATCCTCCTGCCTCAGCCTCCCGAGAGCTGGGATTACTGGCATGAACCACAATGCCTAGCTAAGGGGCCAGCTTTTATGGGGTTGTATTTGGTCATGAGTATGAAATTTCTCAGAAATTTGTTCTTGTTTTAAGAGGTGTCTTCATTTTGTAACTGATCAATGCTTATCCTTGGAGACATCATGGTGCCCCCCGCTCTTACACGGTACCTGGTCCTTGCAGTAAGAGTAGTAGGATAAGGGAAGGGAACATTCCATACAGTGTTGGTAGAAAGATGTTTTCATCTTCAGTGGGCAACAAGTCATGGATTAAGGCTTGAGCCTCCCTTCATCTCTTCTCCCTGTGAAGTTTCCTCTTGTTTTCATTGTGTGCCGGAGGTCAGGACCTAGCAAAGCCCTGCAGCCTCTTGTGAGTCCTGGGTTTTAATGTATCAGCATCGCCTAGGAAGACAGCTTGGGATCCATCAGGAAGCTAGACTTTAGGGACCTGCACTTCAGTGAAAAGGACAAGCTCATCAGTGTATATAAATCAGAAATACTGGTCATACTCTATTTTAACAAATATCATAATTACCACCCTAGACATCTCAAGATTAGTAAGGAAAGGATTCAGCCCAGGTCATAGAACAAAGTCTGGTTTAGCAGAATGGAATCATTCTTCTTGGGGATGTATTATTGTGGGATTCAATCTATAAACACATTTTGGCTCTAATCAACTCTGTATGATTTTTCAAATTTGGGAATTACAAAACTACTTTAAAATCCCTGTTAGAGCCAGCCATGGCGTGCATGCCTATAATCCCACCACTCGGGAGGCTAAGGCTGGAGGATTACTGTGAGTTTGAGGCCAGTTTGAATTACATACTTGTCCAAAAAAAATGAAAACGGGGGGAACCCACTTTCCGGTCCCCCTTCTGTCTCTCTTAGACAGATGCTTTCTTTTTTTTTTTTGGAACCGGGGATCGAACTGGGTCCTTGCGCTTGTGCAGCAGGCGGCGAAACCACTGAGCTAAATCCCCAGCCCAACAGATGCTTTCTTTCAATAAATTTTTCCTACTCTAAAAACAAAACAAAACAAAACAAAAAGTCCTCTTAAATTCAGATATTTTCTTGCACTCAGTAGATTACTTGGGCTGTTTTGCTTCCCTTTCAGTGACAAATGCAAACCTGGTTTAATCTTTTGTGTGTGTGTGGTACTGGAAATTATTGAACCCAGGGCCTTCCCACTGAGGTACATCTCCAGCCCTTTTGTTTTTTATTTTGAGATAGGATCTCACTAATTTGCTAAATTGTCCAGGCTGGGCTTGCTTTATAGTCCTCCTGCCTCAGCTTCCAGGAGCCTGGGATTGTAGACACGCACCATCCCCTTGGCTGTGCCGCCTGCTTACTTCACCAGGCTCTTTTGCTCTTCTGCTTCTGGTGATAATCGCACAGATGATCAAGACGTTTTAGTTCTTAGGTCCTGCAGCTCTGCCTAACTTCCCACCCACCCCTCAGAATCCAGATACCTGGCACTAGCATGTTCTACTATAACTGCAGTAAATACTACAAAAAATATGATAAAAAGAAGCATCACCTTCATCTGCAGGGGGTATTGAAATGGGTTATCTTGTAGCTGGGCGTGGTGTCCCAGCCCCCAGGAGTTTGAGGCAGGAGGATCAGCTACAAGTCCCAGGCTGGCCTGGGCTACATAGGGAACCTAAGACCCTGTCTCAAAAATGAGGACAACACCCTGGGTGCGGTGGCCCAGCCTTGTAATCCCAGTGCTGGAGTGGGGGTGCTGAGGTAGGAGCATCAAAGCGAGGTCGAAGCCAGCAGGGGCTGTCTGGTGAGTTTAAGGCCAGCCTGGACTGTGTATTGAGACCTTGTTAACAAACAAAGCAACCCCTGCAACAACAACAAAGAAGTTATCATTTGGGCTGGGGATGTAGCTCAGCGACATAGTGCCTGCCTGGCAAGTTCGAGGCCCTGAGTTTGATTCCTGGTACCAAAGAAGAAAAAAAAATAAAAGTTATCATTGAACTATTACTGCACTATACCGGACTGTAAATATGATAACCTGTAGTCATAGCTATGCCAGTATGTTTTCCTCCTGACTGTATAAGATATCAGCATGCGCTTAATCACTTAAGCGTCTTTTGTTCTGCTTTTACTTAAGAACTAATATGCTAGGGTCAGGAATGGTGCTGCACACCTGTAACTCCAGCATTCTAAGAGGCTGAGTCAGGAGGACACAAGTTGAAGCTCAGTCTGGTCAATTTAGGGACATAGCAAGACACTGCCTCAAAAAAAAAAGAACTAACATGCTAGTGCTAGGTATTTGGATTCTGAGGAACGGGTGGGAAGTTAGGGTTAGGAAAACTTGAAGAGGAATTCAAAAGGCTAAAAGAAGGTATTTTCATGGAGGATAGTGTGGTAATGTTTGAATCAACTTCTCAGTTCTGTTCATCTAATTTATCGGGTATTTTAGCTTATCTTCTTCCTACTTTATTCTCCAAGGGCCTTGACTTTTAGAAAGGAAAGCAGGGCAGCCTGAGTGGGAGGGAGATAGGAGAAGCTGGACTTGGGATAGGAGGGAGCAACAGGTAAATTAGAGAACAAATGCTGTATCTCTGGAAGATTCCGTATTGCTGTTCAGAACAAGTCACATTAATAATGTGGGTGTCAGTGGGTGTGGGTGCGATGAGTTCTCACGAGCTGCTTGGTTGCTTTGTTACTCACATGTTTCTCCTAGATGTTGTTTAATTTTCTCTCTATTGTATATTATTAGAAGAGTAATCGTGGAGAAATAGGGTGGGGTATAATTCAGAATCATTCTGTTTCATTTTATTTTCGGTACCAGGAATTGAACTCAAAACCTCGAGCTTGCCAGGCAGGCACAGTGTCATTGAGCTAAATTCCTGGGCCCCAGAATCGTTTTGTTTATTTTTATTTCCTCCTAGTGCTGGGGATCCTACCCAAGGCCTTGCACATGCTAGACAAGTGCTCTACCACTGAGCTATATTCCCAGCCCCAGAATCATTTTATTTGCATCTGTGCTAACAATTTGGAGGAAATATTTCACTAAAGAGTTTTTTTGCTAAAGTGGGATTTGGGGATTATCAGCAAGTAGATATTGTCCAGGCCTCCTTAGTGCACCATTAGAAGGAATTGGAAGTGTTGTGGACCTGGGGAAATGTCCAAATTCAGTTATCTCCCTGTTGGAGGTAGGTTTGAGGAACCATTGGCTAACTTGCTGAATGAACAACATCGGGCAGTGAAGGAACTACTGGAGCAGCTGAAGATGAAGAAATCTTCAGCCAGACAGCAACAGGAGGTGGAGAAGCTTAAGCCTCAGGCTGAGAAAGTTCATCAGACCCTGATTCTAGATGAAGTGCAGAGGAAGAGGCTCCAGGAGCAGATGCAGCAGGTAGGACCCTCCTGGTCTGTTGGTACTGGTTATCGCATGGCCCACACTGAAGCCCAAGATGAGCTGCTCTAGGAGTCCGAGTAGCTTAGCAAAAGCTTCCTCCACTGCCACCTGGCCACCGCATGTTCACACAGTTAAAGCCTGAGCATGTCCTGTTCGTGCCTGTGACTCAGCATCAGGCCCCCGTAGTGCTGAGAGTTGGAGAGTTCACAGTCCTTAGAAACTTTTCTGAAATTTAGTAGCCTTCGCTGCCAGATAGGTTTTTTACTAGCCACTCTGGTTGGGAGTTAAACAGTCTGTGGTGTGTCTTTTTGCTTAAGGGAACATACCTGAAAATTTATGCCGAGTTTCCCCAGAAAACCAAATAAGTGTGATGAATTTGCAGATGTCTTGGTAAGCTCTCTCTGTGTTTCTGAAATGGCAACATCATAACATGTCAATGTTTTCTTTCCCTCCTCAGCACGTTCAGCTCTTGACACAAATCCACCTTCTCGCCTCCTCCAACCCCAACCTCAGTTCAGAGGCCAGTACCACCAAGATATTTCTTGTAAGGTTCCAAATATCACTAACACGAAAGAATTGACTATGAAATTAGCTTGGCAACTCATTTCTCATGTTATTCACTGATCCTAATTTATTTTTATTTTCTCCTGGATGTTTTTGGTTGTTATGCCTACTTTGTTTTATGGCTGCATTTGTTTATGTTTGCTGACCCAACATAAACCACTGATTTCCATGACAGTATATTCAGTTCTTTCTTTCTTTTGGTACCAGGGATCGAACTCAGGACCTTGTGCTTGTGAGGCAGGCCCAGTATCACTGAGCTAAATCCCCAGACCTCTTTCTCTTTTTTTTGAGACAAAGTCTTGCTATGTAGTTCAGGCTGGCCTTGAACTCACTGGGTAGCCCATGCTGGCCTCAGACTCAGTCCTCCTGCCTCAGCCTCCTGAGCTGAGATTACAGGTGTGTGCCACTATGCCTGGCTTCAGTTTTCTTAGTACTATCTGACTGGCCCTTTTTTTTCAGTTGAACTCAGGGAATTTGCAGTGAGTTACATCCCCAGCCCTGTTTGTATGTATGTATGTATTTATTTATTTATTTTTGGTGCCGGGGATTGAACTCGGGTCCTTGCGCTTGCGCAGCAGGTGGCAAAACCACTGAGCTAAATCCCTGGCCCCCTGTTTTATTTTTTATTTTGAGATATGGGCTTGCTAAGTCATTAAGTTGCTCAGGTTGGGCTCAAACTTGTGATACTTTTGACATTTTTATTGTGTCCATCTCCTTTTGTCTTTGGGTCTACCTGATATCTCTCTCTCTTTTTTTTTCTTTCCTTTTTTTTTTTTTTTGGTTGAGACAAGGTCTTGGTATGGAGTAGGGGCTGGCGTTGAATTCACTATGTAGTTCAGGCTGGTTTCAAACTTGGGACAATCCTTCTGCCTCAGGCTTCTGAGTGCTGGGATTACATGCATGCACCACGACCCCTGGATTCTACCTGACTTCTTGTATTTTTGGTATTGCTATTCTTTTTTTTATTTTTTTCATTATTGGACATTGAACTCAGGGCTTTCTGACTGAACTGTATGCCAGCAATTTTTTCTTTTGAAACAGGGTCTTATGAAGTTGTTAAGTTATTCAGGTTGGGCTCAAACCTGTGACCTTTCTGGGGTTTTTTTGGTACCGGGAATTGAACTCGGGTCCTTGCACTTGCAAGGCAGGCGGTGGAACCACTGAGCTAAATCCCCGGCCCTGACCCTTCTGGGTTTTTGTTTGTTTGTTTTTGTTTTTTTGGTATGGGGAATCGAACTTAGGGCCTCACACTGGCCAAGCAGGCGCTCTGCTGCTGAGCTACATCCCTGGCTTTATCTTTTTGTTTTAATCTTTCAGAATATTGAGATTACAAGCATGCATTATCACACCTAACTTGGTACGGCTGTTTTTTCAGATGTTCAATTCATTATCTGTTCATTAAGCTCCACATTAATGTTTTCTCTATAGAATTAATTTTGCTCATGACATTTTGAAGTAGTTTGTGGAAGGGCTTCTTTCTTTTTTTTTTTTGAGACAGGGTCTCCCTATGCAGTTCAGGGTCACTTTGAAATCACTGTGTTTCCCAGGCTGGCTTTGAACTCCAGGTGATTCTTTTCTGCCTCAGCCTCCCAAGTACTGGGATTACAGGCATTTGTCTCCAAGCCCTGCTTGAAGGGCTTCTAAATTTAAAATTTGAAACTACAAATTGCCCCTGAACTTTTGGATGGGTAATGATGATATTATCTGTTTCTCAGGTCCATCTCTTTGGAATTTGAGTAATATGTTTGCTTCCTTTATGGGCAGCACAGTGTATTCACCTCTTACTGTGTCAGAGGATCAACTTCGTTCTAGGTATTACTGAGAGAATCTTTACAAACAGTGGCTCTCATTCTTGAGAACCTTAATTTTCCCTTTGGAGCTAGCTGCACCATATCTACAAGACTGAGGAATCCTCAGTCTGAGAAAAAAAACAAGAACAAACAAACATGTTACACACTCCCTGCATGTCTGAGGACTCGGCAAGAGAGAAGTCTTTTTTTTTCTGGTCCCGGAGATCAAACTCAAGACTTTGTGCTTGTCAGGCAGGCACGCAGTGTACAAGAGAGAAGTCTTGGTGGAATAATGTTAATTATTGTCTGTTTTGTTTTGTAATAGGAGGGACAGATTCTCATTCTGAGACTCAGAGCTACTGATTCTTAGATTTCTTTTGTGTCCTGTTTTCCCAGAAAGAGCTGGGGACCTTTGCTCAGAGCTCCACTGCTCTTCACCATCAGTCCAACCCCACGTTTCAGACCTTGTTCCAACCCTGTAACTTGATGGGAGCTATGCAGCTGATCGAGGACTTCAGCACACACGTCAGCGTTGACTGGATCCCCCCGAAAACTATGCGCAAGAATGGTAGGGGACAGCGGTGTCAACCTCAAGCTTTGCGTTGCAGTGAGAGATGAGAGTCTTACATGGATCATTTCCTAGGAGTGCAGGACACAGGAGATTTATCTGTCTTTTTGTCCTGTCTTTGTACTGTTTAGAATTGCAGAATAATATTAGTGCTCAGGGAAGGGAGGCTGTTGGCAGGTTAGGGCTTGGGCTGGAGATGTGGGATGCATTGCTGAGAACTGCACTTCAGTGATGTGGAGGTGAGTGTGAGGTGTCAGATCAAGACAGACTGGCGTCTGGTAAAGGGGAAAGTCCAGTGGTAAAAATTGGTCATGTTTAGGTTTTTACTCTCTTCTTCATTAAGACTGACCCCCTCCCCTGATTGTAGGGTAGGTGATACTCCTTTTTGTATCTTTTTGTTTTTGGAGGTAGGGTCTCACTGTTGCTTACACTCACCTTGAACTTGTAGTCCTTTTGCTTCCTGGGGGGCTTGTGTTATAGGCATGTGCCACCATATCCAGCTTCAGCTCTAGTCATGTTTAAACTTTATTTTGAGATGGGTTTCCTGAGTTGCCAAGGCTGGCCTTGAACTTGTGATCTTCCTGCCTTAGCCTCTCAAGTAACCGGGATTAACAGCATGCAAATTTTTTTGAGAAAATATTTACTGTGGTCTTTATAGCCAAATATTTGCTTCTGACTTATTTCCTGAATTAGTTGTAGTTTGTTTTGGGTTTTGGTTTGTGTGTGGATATGATTGTAAATTCCTGAATCTTAAAGTTAAATGGAATAAGTTAAATTTACATAGACGTAGATCTCCAAGCTGCTTTTTTTGATAGTTGACAATGAAAACTTAACACAATAGTAGAGTAATAACTTTTACACCTAGTGTCCTTTGTTTTTCTACTGGGCATATAAACATAGCACAGAAAGCGGGCCAGGGATTTAGCTCAGTGGCGCCATGCCTGCCTTGCAAGTGCAAATTCCTGAGTTTGATTTCCGGTACCGCAAAAAAAAAAAACCACAGAAAGAGAAGTGTGGACATAGTAGTTCATGTATGTAGAAAGGCAGAGGTGCCTGGACTTGAGAGGCTTAGAGGGAAAGGCAAATGGATGAGACTGAATTGTCTCATTCCTTTCATGGCTTTTTTTGTTCCCAAGCTCAGGAGGAGTCTGGGAGAATTTAAAGTTAAGTAAGAATCAAATAAAAATAAAATTTGGAATACCAGATTTGTGAGGGAGATTAAAGAAGTTGGAATCTTATCCTGGAAGAAAGCAAACATTGTTGAAGGTCTCTTGTCTTTCGAGGATTTAAAGGGGGAAGGAGGTAAAATATTTTTGAGCATATACTATGTGCCAAGCATTACTAGGTGCTTTGTGTTTGATACTCAGCGAGTAAAGTGTTCCACATAGGAAAGAATAAAAAAACTAACTTTGACTGAGATTGAATGGAGCTGCCTTTAGCGATGGTTAGGTTGAGAAACTGGAAACTTTTGGGGAGAGTGAGTGAGTGGGAGGGGCTTAAGACAGACAAGGGTATCTTGATCTAAACACAGAAATACGGAAAGCTTTTGGAGGCCTTTGGTCCAAGAATTCCACTTAGCAGAGATTTTTTTCTTATAGGTCATGAGTTTTTCTGTTTGCCAAAGCAAGTGGCTTGGATCCTGGCCACAAGCAAAGTGTTCATGTATCCAGAACTACTTCCGCTGTGTTCCCTGAAGGCAAAGAACCCTCAGGATAAGCTCATCTTCACTAAGGCTGAGGACAAGTAAGTGTTTCCTGCGGCAGACCTAAGGGACAGGTGTCCCAAGGGGATGCAGTTCCTTCTGCGAGTAAGGGGATGAGATGGGCACAAAGAAACCAGCAGCGTAGCTTATGGGGCCCTGCGCTCTGTGCTGTTCTGCCAGTGCCAGCACTGCTGCTTAGGGTGCCGCACATCCTTGGAAACATTTGATGTCATGGTTTCTCTTTTATTTATTGTAAAACCAGTCTTGTAATGCTGTTAAGGGGAAAAGTTACCTGTTCTACCTCTGCATGGCAGTGGGTTTTCTTTTTGGATTTTTAAAAAAATGTATTTTGTCCCATTCCCACCCTGTTCTTATGCCCCCTCCTCTCCCTGTGTACAGAAGCTTTGTTTCCATTTTTCCTTCTATTTTCACTTTTTTCTTGTCCCTTCCTTTCTCTCTTCCCTCTCTCTATTCCCCTTCCCATTTGAACACTTTCTTCCCATTTTCCAATATCTGTTATGGATTTTAGTTCTTATTTCCACTTTCTGTTTCTCACACCAGAGAAACAATTCAGTATTTAAACACTTGTGTCTGATTTATTTCACTTAAGAGTGTGGTCTCAGGGTCCATCCATTTAGCAAGAAATATCTGAAGTCCTTCCTTCTTTATGGCAGAGTAGTACTCCATTGTATAGAAAAAAAATTCTTTGTGTAAATAAGGATTAAAATGATTAAAATGAATAATTGATAATTTGAAATAGGAAGAAATGGTCCAAAGTGGTAGGGGTGGTTGGAGGGGAAGGGGAAAGAAAAGAACGGAAAGGAAAAATTATGAGAAGAGAAAAAAAATGGAAATGAAGTCTATGAAAATAGGGAGGGGTGGAGGGGGAGTGAAGGGCGCACAGGTAATGGGGAAGAAATAAGAACCAAGACACATCATCTATAGGTACAAGCACCCAGTGATAAATGTAAACGTATTGTATACCTAAAATGTACCAATAAAAGAATTTAAGGGAAGAAACAAAACAAAACACATCTTCTTTATCTACTTACTGATTGACGGGAATTTGGGCTCAAATTTGGGAACCTCCTTCCTCAGCTTCCCAAGTGGCTGAGATTACAGGTGGTATCACTGTGCCCTGCCATGGAGTGTTTCTTTCAGTGGCCCTGTGACAGTTGTTTTATTAGCCATTTTTCTTCTCTCTGTTTAGCTATTTAGTTAGGCTTCACCAGCCGTCTTTGTGTGTAGAGCTTTTTAAAATGTCTTGTGGGTAAATTCCCAGGAATTACTCATTAAACATTGTAAACTCTTGTTTGTTTGTTTGTTTTTGTGGTACTGGGGATCAAAAACAGAGGCACTCCCTCTACCCCTGAGCTGTGTCTGCAGCCCCCTTTTAAATTTTATTTATTTATTTTTTGGTACCAGGGATCGAACTTTGGACCTTGCTCTTGCCAGGCAGGCGCGGTGCCATTGAACTCCGTCCCCAGCTTGACCCGTTTTGTTTTTTGAGCTGGGATCTGGTTACATTGTGTAGGTGGTGTTTGAACTTGTAATCCTCCTGCCTGGCCTCCCTAGTTTGCTGTGATTACAGGCGTGTGCCCCTACACCCGGCTCTTTCCTTAGGCTGTCTGACAAGTCTTACATAAGTAATAGTGTCTTCGTCCAAGTCTTGCCAGTCTAAAGATACAGAGAGGGCTGCAGAGCTGGGCTGGAGGAGGGCAGGAACTGGGCTGTGTGTCAAGTGAGGGTGTTTCCTGGGGCTCAGTGGCAGCGTGTCTCTGCTGTGAGATGAGCATATATCTCTTTTGTCTCTCTTCGAGTTCCTTTTCTGTGGTTAGTATGAAGCTCATCATGACACCATATATACTTTGGGGATGGGGTCATCCTGTGTTGCCCAGGTGGGCCTTGAGCTCTTGGGCTCAAAGTGGTCTTCTAGCCTCAGCCTCTCAAGTAGCTGTGATTTCACATGACCATGCTTGGATTGTTAATGATTTATAGCTTGTTTTTCCTATTCCTACTCAATTGTGAACTAACTCCTATCTGATTATTTTGTGATTTTTTTTTTTTTTTTTTTTTTTGCAATGCTGGGGATTGAACCAGAGCCTGCTCTGTGACTGAAGCTACTTCCCCAGCCCTTCCTGTCTGGCCTCACTTGCAGTACTTAGTAGCACTCACTAGATACCTGAAATTGTCTATTAAGTAGCCAACAATGTGTACAAAGATTATTATTATTACTATTGTTGGCAGTACTGGGGATTTAACCCAGGACTTTCACATTGAGCTACTTTTTTTTTTTTGCTACTGGGGATCGAACTTGGAACTTTACACTTGCGAGGCAGGCGGAACCACTGAGCTAAATCCCCGACCCCACATTGAGCTACTTTTTAAAAGATTTTTTTGTGAGACAAGGTCCCTGTAGCCCAGGCTAGGCTCCAACTCCTGCCTCAGTGTCCCGAGTGCCGGGACTACAGATGTACAGCACTGCATCCAGGTGGGGAGGGTTTTTAGGAAGGGGAGAACCGAGGTTTAATGCCATTGCTCCTTTCCCTAGTTTGCTAGCTTTGGGGCTGAAGCATTTTGAAGGGACTGAGTTTCCCAAGCCTCTGATCAGCAAGTACCTGCTGACCTGCAAGACTGCCCACCAGCTGACGGTCAGGATCAAGAACCTCAACCTGAGCAGAGCCCCTGACAACGTCGTCAAGGTGAGCGCCTTGGTGTCCTTATCGCCCCGCCAGTGTCGTCCCTGCGTGTGCCCAGGGCTCCTGTGCTCCTCCCTACAGTAGCCTCGCCCCTCCTCAAGGATATCAGCTGCTGTTTTCCTCCTGGTTACCTTCCTCTTGTCCTACAGATGAAGTTGTTGAGTTCCTTCAAGATTACACATATTCCTGGTTCCTTCTAGCCGTAAAGTCTTCTCTTTCTTTTACTCTTAAAGGTCAGACAGTATTGCCCTTGTATCCTGCTTAGTGCTTTCTTATTTAAATATTAATACCAGTTACATAGTACATGTGTTTTATTGTACTGGGGATTGAGCCCAGCGCCTCCACACTGACACAGAGCTGTATCCGCCGCCCTTTCCTTAAATTTCCTCCTCCCTCCCTTCCATCCACTGCCACCCTCTTTCTTTTAGTTTTGAGATGGGGTCTCACTAAGTTGCTAACTTGCCCAGGCTGGGTTCAAACTCGGTTTTTCCTAACTTGTTCAGACGTGCAGACTTTAATGAGTCAAATAGAGGGGCTAGGGGTGTAGCTCAGGGGCACCCCGCCTCCCTGGCAAGTGCAAGGTCCTCAGTTTGATCCCCAGTACCAAAAAAACAAAACAAAGAAAATCAAATAGTTTTGAGGCTTATTACAAACCAAAAAAAACATTTTTTCTCCCCTTTCCTGCTAACCAAGGTTTATTGGGAGAAAGTGAGTTTACCTCCACATTTAGGTGGCATGCTTTAGTTGCCCTTTCTCCATGTTGTGGATTTGGGCCTTGTTTATTAGCCTCAGCCATGGATAGTGAGCAGTTAGCTTTCTCCAGTCTTGTCACTGTAATTATATCACAGTTTTAGTTCCACTATATCCAGGGGTTATATATAAACATTCTATTTTTTTTTTTGGTACCGAGGATCGAACTCGGGACCTTGAGCTTGCAAGGCAGGTGCCAGAACCACTGAGCTAAATCCCCGGCACATATAAACATTCTAAAGGCTGTAAATTCTTCTCTCAGTATAATGCTATGTATGGGACACTTTGTCTTTCCTGGTGGGCGTTTTGTTTCCCTTGGAGTTAGTGATTGCATTGGGGTGGCGCGCTTGGTCTTACTATGTACTTATTACACATCAACAGTAAAGTTTACTTGCATTTCATAAATCTCCTTTCACTGTGTTTAAGAATTCTAGATGTGTTGCTGTTTTTGAAGACGTTGCTCCCTGACTGTGTTGCTCCTATGGCTTGCTGCCCTTTTGTCTTCTTGGACTTTTTCTTAATCATCATTCTGGGGCTGCCTTTGTGTCTTCTTTGTGTTGGATCCTGTTATCTTCTGAGCCCTACATCATCTTATTTGCTTAACTTCCTTACTTTATATATTTATTTTTGGTTTTTTGAGAGGGTGTCACTATGTAGTTCAGGCTGTCCTTGAACTCATTGTGTAGCTCAGGCTGGCCTCCCAACTCTGGGCGAGCCTCCCGCCTCAGCCTCCCCAGCTCTGGGATCACAGTTGTGCACCACCATGGCCAGCTGCTTCGTTAATTTACTGAGCACATAAGTAGCCTCCTGAGGGAGATAGCTGAGAAACAAACTTGTACCTTTAAACTCTTCGTGGTCCTGGAATTAGCCCAGTGTCTCCCTCCTCTCCCCTTTAAATGTCTGTTGCGCAGTAAATTCAGTGTGCGGTCTCACCCAGCCCTTGACTTTCAGTTGCACCTGTCCTCTGATGATCTTCACATCTGTGTTTTCCGTCCAGATCTCTCTCTTGAGCTGCAGCTCAGCGTAGCTGGCTGCTCTGAGGAACTGTCAGCCTGGTTACCTCCTGACCCGTCCAGCCGAGCTTCTGTCTCACTCTGCCCTTGAGTGGTGGCTGTAGACACCAGCACAGCAGCCCCCCCGCCCCGCGCCCCCCTGCTGTGATCCCATCCCTGGGTGATACTGCTGTCGTGCCATTCCCCACTCCGCAGAGCTGGGCGCCGTGCTTGACTTTGTCCTGATCAGCACCGCAGTCTCCATCACACATCCTCTGTTTGTTTTCTGCTTAGTTCTGGACTTTTTATTGCGGCATTAATATAGTAGTTCACTCTTGGTGTCTCTAATTCTGACCTCATGCCTTCTGTCTTCACATCGCCCTATCCTCAGCTTTTCTTTTCATTTTTTGTCTTTTTGAGACAAAGTCTCACTGTGTAATCCAGGCTGGCCTTGAACTTGCAGTGATCCTCCTGCCTCAGCCTCCCAAGTGCTGAGATCACAGGCATGTGCCACTGGCTCCTCAGTTTTGATTCAGGTTCTACAAATCATATTAGGAGAAATACTGCTGGGCTGGGCATGGCGGCACATGCCTATAATCTCAGCACTGAGAAGGCTGAGGCAGGAGGATCACCGTGAGTTTGAGCCCAACCTAGGCCACATAGTGAGTTCCAGGCCAGCCTCAACTACATAGTGAACCCTGTCTCAAAAAAAACAAGCAAACCAACAACATTGCTGACATTGCCCAACTCCCAGCAGCCAACATGCTATGGTCCTTTCTCCCCATACTACCAGCTCACCTTTTTAACGAACCTCATGAAAAAATTAGGGCACCAGAACTGCTACTACTAGGACAGCTGCTGGGGTTCCAGGCACGTGCCCCCAGGCCTTTTCAAGGTCTTACTATGCAATTCAGACTCACCATACAACCCAAGCTGGCCTCAAACTCACAGTGACCCTCCTGCCTCCTCCTCCCACATGCTGGGATTACAGCTGGGCGCCACCGCACCAGGCCAAGCTCTTTGGTGCCTTAAACACGTTCATGGTTTTGGATGTAGTTTATTTTGAGCTCTCCTGACTAATGCAGCAATTTATAAGTTTTAATTTTAGTTATACTTCCAAAAAATCTGTTCAAATTTGAGTTGTGTCTCATTTTTTTTTTTTGGTACCGGGAATCGAACTTGGGTCCTTGTGCTTGCAAGGCAGGCAGTGGAACCACTGAGCTAAATCCCTGGCCCATGTGTCTCATTTTTTTAAATGCACATCTTTGTAGGATTGTTTGTTTGTTTGTTTGTTTTTGAGACAGGGTCCCTATGTAGCCTAGGCTAGCCTTGAACTTGTGGTGATCCTCCTGGGACTATAGGCATATATATACTACCACGCCCGGCATCTTTATAGTTTTAAAAACAATTGTCAAACATAAGTATTAGTCCGTGAGCATCTTTTCCAGTGAGCGTCTTTCCCACTCATCTGCTCTTTGAGAGCCAGAATTGTTTGTTTTGTGTTTATGCTTTAGTTCCTGGCCAGTGCCTGTGTATAGAAGGCACTCAGCCTTTGCTGAGTGAATGGATGCTTATTGTCAGTGACTTGAAGTGGTGTAAGGCAAATACTCCTTTACATTTCCTTTTGGTTTTCTCTTTTGGACGGACAGGGGCTTGCTGTGTCCCAGGCTGGTCTCCACCTCACTGTGGCTCAGGGCTGGCCTCTAGCTTGCGATCCTCCTGGCTCCGCCTCTGAGGGCTGGGACCATAGGGGTGGTAGCCACTCCGGCTTCATTTACTCTTCAGACAGAAGCTCTGCAGTTTCTCCTTTCTTTGTCCCCTTCCCTTCTGATGCCTTCCACACGATTTTTTTTTTTTGGTACCGGGGATCAAACACAAGCACTAGCAAGGCAGGCACCGGAACCACTGAGCTAAATCCCCGGCCCCCACACGATTATTTCTTAAAGATTGCCTTCTGGTGTGTAAGGGTAAGAGTGTGCCCCTGCCCAGTTTTAATTTTTCATTTTGTAGCAGGGTCTCAGTCATTAAGAAGTTGCCCAGGCAGGGCTCGAACTCACGATCAGCCTCCCAGTGTGCTGGGGTTCGGGCGTGGGCCACCGTGCCTCGTGCCATGTGTGGTTTAGAGCAGACATGTGGGTGGAGGAGCCCGAGTGTATCCCTGTTCTGGCTGCTTTCCCAGCCTTCCCCTCGTGTGTGGGGCCCAGCCGTGCTCTGGGGGGAGGGTGAGGCCTGGCGCCCCGTGTGCGCTGCTGCCTTGCTCCGCTCATAGATTGCATTAGTTTTTTAGAATTAAGGAACATATGTAATGTCAATGGTTATTATTTGCTCTTTCAGAAGGTGGAAATTTTTTCCTGTTTTTCTCGCTTTATGGAAGAGTTTTTAAAAATTCTAAAAGCAAAGTAGAGCGGTATCAATGTTACTTAAAAACTATATTCCACATACAAAAATATATTATAATGCCAGTTTTTCACTCTGAATGTTAACATTTTTTTGGGCCAGGCATGGTGGTGCATACCTGTAATCCTAGCGCTCGGGAAGCTGAGGCAGGAGGATTTTATCACCATGGGTTCAAGGCCAGCCTGGGCCACATAGTGAATTCAAGGCCGCCTCAACTAAATAGTGAGACTCTGTTTCAAAAATAACCAAAAACAAAACAAAAAAAATTGTTTTTGGTGGGATTCTCAGGGGAAAAAAATTTCTCCTTTCTTTCCTTAGTCAGCTTTGTGCTCCAGAAAATTTTCTGTGATAAAGTCTGAACATAATATTTCAAGTCTTAAAAGAATTTGCACATAGAGGAAAATGACTTTTTAAAATTAGGGGCAGCTGCCAAATTGATGTATTTTAAATTGTGTTTTCTTAAAGAAAAAATTTTGTTATTTATACATCTCATAAAGGAAGAAAATGAAAAAGAAAGTGAAAAGTTATCCAATGGGATGATTCTAATATATACAGTCTCACTTTCTGCAAAGCTTGAAAATAGCAAAAACACTCAACAGCTATAGATCTTGCATTTAAATTTGATTTCTTATTGGTAACAAGGTGAGAGTGAGCAGCACCCTGCAGTTGTGGGCGGGTGCAGAACTGAGGAACTGACCTCCTGTGTTCCTTGTTTGTACTCCTGGCAGCCGGGGTGGTGATGGACAGGGGATTCTGAAGGGTTCTGAGGTCTTTATTGATGGGAGGTGCACAGCAGGCTGCATACGGGGCG